CCCCCCCCCCCCTCTTTAATTCTTTTGATATATAAATTCAGATTGTCATCACTATAGGAAACTATGAAACAAACAATATATTTCCACAAAAAAATTAAGAATCACTTCTATATGATACTCATGTTGGCAAAAGTATATAAATATTATTTCCTTACTGTCACAAAAAACTGTTTCTTCTTTTATTCATAGCAGAAAAATTGCTCTTAAATAGAATACAAATAACTTAATTAAGGAAACCCTAATTTACGATAGACACAGTCTATCCCTATAATTCAGGGTCAATGATCTTGTACAATAAATACAAAAAAATATTCAGCCTATCCTCCTAATTGTGGAATGTAATTAAATCTATACAAAAAAATATTATCTTCAACATATTTCCAGGGATTCTGACACTTACATTTGCCATGTGCTCTCGGCATTTAAGGAATGACCAATCTCCTATTCCATAGCGACCATGGGCACCTCCATTTCTCATGCTGAAATTTAAGAAAGACCGTTAGATATAAATCAGTTCAAGTGCTTTTAACTAACTTGAGCTTTTGGGATATTTGGTTCAAGGCATAATATCAGTCTCTATGACCATGTGGTCTAGAGTTTGATCCATGTTCCCCCATTTATATAAATAAATGTCAAATTTAAAAAATGGGTAGGGTAAATAGTGAAATGTCCATGCTTCAAGGCCAAAGATTTCTTGCTAGAAGGGGCATATGATATAAAACCATTCATGTGCTTTCATGCAGTAGTTTATGCTTTTGGGATAGTTGGTTCATCATAAGAATTTGCTTTAAAGTTGAATAAAACAAGAAATTGTGCAGTAAAATGTCTTTCTTTGACTGACCTCCCTATAAGGTATTCGCCGAGAGGAAGAGTTCCATTAACCCACTCAAGAACACCAGCACTCGGTGTAAAAGGAACAACCTGTTTCATAAAAAAGTGAAAATTTTCAACCATTTTAGGAATTTAATCTCTTTTTTCCATAGCTGCAAAACTATTACACTCACAACCTTAGCTGAAAAACAAAGTCATTGTTCTCCACCAAAAGTAATTTTAGTAATATGAGGAGCGTTAGGAATACACTCTTCAACACTCCCTCAATCATTGGTCAAAATTTATTAAGAATTACAAAATCACAAGTGAGACTTATTAAATAAATGGGACCCACAAAATTGTAATTTCCCATTAAATTTTCAGCTAATAGAAGACTGTTCAAAATAATACGTTAAAAGGTGTATTGTTAACATTTGTCTTGGTAGTATTACATATAAGTTAACACTGGTATGCTAGTAGGAGTGTACAACAAACAACTCGATGAACAATTCTAAGAGCCATGAGTAATGTAAAACTAACGAAACCCTCATCTTCACTTTCCTTATCCCACACTGCTGAGCAAGAAATTACCCTAAAACTATTTACTGATAACTTATTTTTTTGATTTTGATGACAGTTACAGTTCACCAGCCAATCACTAGCACCAAAGACCAAGAACTTAGCAGAATATACCTTGTAGGTGCGTACTCCTAGCCTTCTTTTCCATGTATCTTGATGGTTCCTCAGGAATGTGTTAACCAAACCAAAGAATTGTTCCATTACCTGTCAAGAACTCAACAGTTTAATTTAACCATCAAAGTAAGCAATACATACACGGGAAAGTTAAGATCCCATAAGACATGCAAATTCTCTTGTAGAAAAATGTGAAAATCTCAAAGGAAGAGATAACATATCTTTTGCTATGTGACTAATATATACCAAAGGGATTAACTTTGATGGGCCACAACAGTTAGGTAGCTATATGGGTATAATCAGTTTCCTAAAATAGGATATACCAAACATAAATGTAAAATATATAAATTGTCAACTTTAGATGATAATTTAATTTAGATTTAAATAGAGTTTGGTCCCTATAGTTTACCTAGACTTGGGTTTTGGTTTCAATACATTAAAAGTTTGGTTTAGTCCCTATAAATTTTTAAAAACTACGGTTTTAATCCCTACTATAAGCAATATGCCAAAACACTTCCCCTTTGAAGTCAAATCATTAGGACAGTTGTATCATATACCACCACGATCAAAACCTGAACAGAAAATTATATATGGAGACCAGAAACTAATATTTTGAAGTATACAGACCAAAATAAAAATTTAGGTAAACTATATGGACCAAAAATGTATTTAAACCTTTAATTTAATATTGCAATTAACAGAAAAGTAGTGTTATAAAACATATATTTTTCAAATAAGCTTGAGATGTGATTTTTTTTTCTTCTAAAGATGGACAAATAAATAATTCAGCAGAACTTCAGCAATAGATGCCAAGATGTAAAAGCATAAGCTGTCAGAATTCATACAGCATCCTGTCTTAGATCATCATTTCCAGATTTTGCAAGTTGCCGATATCTGTGGCCATCAGAACCCAAGCATTCAACCACTTTCGGGGCATTTATACCATTCATTATCCTGCACATCAAATCAACATAAAGTGGATTGAAGCATCAAATATTGCATCCTAAAAGAAATTTGTCTCACTGAATGCTATAAATGACTGAGACATACATAACTGAATCGGCTAATCCTTTGAAGTATGGAAAAGTGCCTTCATGATACTGACAACTATGATCGACTGAAATTGTAGCTGTCACTACAGGTACCTGAATGACCAAAGTAAATGCAAATGAAACAGTTTAGCACAAAAAAAGTTCAACAAAAAGAAGACATAACAAGTTTAGTTCACCTAATGTTGACAACATATGTACAATGCTTAAACAAATATTTACAATCAAAATTTAAAAGGAAATGTATAAACTGCCAGACAAAATCTGCCAAAGAAAAATCAATATAAGTAAATATCTTCTGCACTCTGCAGTATTAGCACATGAATATCTATATCTATATTATCTAGACACTTTTGACAAGTTTCACTTGGAAATTAATGATTAAAGAAAAATTAATGAAATTTTAATGCATTGAAGAGGATCAGAGATGAAAATGCATGACATTCAATTATTGCTAAGCAATATAAAGTGTCATTGGAAAGTTGTGATTAAAGAACGATTGATGAAAATTTAATGCATTGAAGGGAAAGTGAATAATATAAACAAGACAAATTGGTATTAAAATTTTTTAGAATACATTTTAAAACAAAGAAATTAAGAAAATAAATAAATAATTTAATTTTCAACATTTGAGACTCTGAAAAGTCAATGCTGGTGAGGAAACTTCTCTATTGACAGCCTTCAACAAGCAATGTGGAGATCTTAAAAACCGAGCATAAGCAATGTGTTGTGATTCAGGAATTGTGTGTATTGTTGTACACACACCTATCTTATTTATAGAGTGAATACAATAAATGATAGAGATACTAATCTCTTATATTATGGAAACTAATCTAATCATATCCCTAATTGATAGTGAGGATAATAACCATAATATATGTATCCACAATATCTGTAATATATTCACAATATCTGTAACACAATGAAAGGTTAAGACTGCTGTGATAATTTTGAGAAGTGTCACGTATTAAAGGGGAATCTTTGAAATTGATGGTGGAGGAAAAAAGAATGGAAATTCTTTGATTGAAGAGAAATTGATGATGAAAATTGTTAAATAATATCAACCTTCAGCAATCAAGGTAAAGAATCTAGTTGATTGAGGGGAAGGGCTAACAGAAAATGACGTGATTCAAGCAAGCAAGTGTCATTATCATGTCTTATTTGTCATCTTTATTTGTCTTCTTTTATCAACTTACAATTTGAAGTTTTTAAACACTCATGGTGTGTTTGGACAAAGAACTTGAAATTCTAGGAATTTGAATTACTTTGATTTCAATTTTTATCATTCTTTGATTTTTGCCATGGGTAAAATTGATTTAATATATATATATATATATATTGTGATTTTAAGATGAAATTATAAAAATAAAAATAGCCAATTTTTAAATATCTAAGTTTTAAAAGTTAATATTAGACAATATTTAAGAATTTTAATTTTTTTTTATTATTTAATAATTACAAATATTATTGATATTTATATGTTGAATTTTTTGAAAAAATATGAAGAATTTCAAAAAAAAATTTGGAAGAATTTGAAATTTTTCTATTTTAAGAAATTTGTGAAATGCTTGGATTTCAAACTTTTTGTAATTTCATTTAAATTTTGTATCCAAACACTCTTAGATTTGCCCCAATCCAAAAATCTCAGCAATTCAGCTTTTTAGGCAACACGTGTTATCATGACGTGATTTACATAACAAAGTAACTAGTTCTAAATGTAATAGTACTCACCAGAATATTATACACGTCTCAATCTGCATATTTTTTTGTTATCACCATCTATTAAATCCAATTAATATTTGCTTTGACATAATATTTATACTTTGCTATATATTGTGCAAATGTTTTAATCCTACAATACAAGTCTACTAAATTATGGTCGCAACATTCTATTATTTTTCATATGTTCCAACTTATTTTTATACAAAAATTAGAATATTTGTTTTTTTGGGAATTTTGTTGTTGACAAACAAGACAGCAATGACATGATATAAAATTATAAATAGAGTTTTCATCAAAATTTTCTAAAATTGATAATTGTGTACTTTGTGTAAATATTACATACATTAACTGCTGATATAATTTTCAATAATTGTATATGCATCTCATGTGTGTACTGCTCATGACAAAGACATCCATAACCAGCATTAGAAGAAATGACATTAGAATGTTACCATACTATAAAATATTATTCGAAATATCACCATTTAGTCAAGCAAAGACTATAGCTATTCTTTTTTCACACTGCCCAGTCCTCAAAGGTTGTCCCCCAAAACCACCATTCAGTCATTGCATCAACCTGAAAGCTTCAATACCAAGAAATTTAGCAAGCCACTTACAAGTTCTAGCACTGGGAGGTTACGCAGGTCCCTTGGTAGTGTAACCTTTTTATTGGTATCCTGCATAAATAATCCAATCAGAAGGCAGTGAAAAATAAAGTTTTTCAGAATACTTGGCAAGCCAATGATAGAAATATCTTCAAATAAATTCATGGTTATGCGAAAGAATGGATATGAATATATAAAAACATGTCACCTCTCTCTTTGTTTCCATCTCAGCAAGTCTGACATAAATCTCCACCATTTGTTTCATCTACGTATGTTACACAAACAGTTTGAAGGTAATTGATTGATAATTGGAACCACCAACAAAGAAGAAAATATAAAACAAGAAGAGTGACGTTACTTGTCGTATGATAGCTCCATGATAAGAGGACAACTCATTCAGAAGGTTTTCTGCTGCAAGTTTTTTGTCCATATCAACCACAAATGAACTTCTACTACGCTGTTTGTCCTTGATACGGTCTCCGTTTGCCAGTGCCAGGAGCTATATAGAAAATAGATATTAAAAGATTGACAAGAAAAAAAAATTCATGATGAAAAAGCATATGGCCAGACAGAATAAGGTTGGTTTATATTTTCCCTTAATAATAAATATAGAATCACAAATTTTACTTTTGAAAATAATAATAATAATAAAAATCATTTGGCATGCTAAACGTTGCCAGATAGCAGATAAAGGTACAACTTACTTGAAGTATTGTATGGTATGGATGATCAATGGCCATTTTCTTCACAAGTGAAACTAATGCAAACTGCATCATTCATAATCATATTAAACAAGAGGATAAATGTGCAACAGTTAATGCATATAATGCTGGTGAAGCCAGACCTGGAAATTGAGTTGTCCCTGACCATCCTTTGAGCTACCCATTCTAGAGGCAATTTGGTATACTAAGGGTATAAATTTGAAAGATTGGACCTACAAACGGATTCAAATGCAATCAACATAGAAAACCCACAAAAACAATTTTAAGATAAGGGCAAATATCATACAAATCAGGCGGATTGATTTCCAAAGCTTTACTATATACCTCATCAATTGTGCTCAGCATGTTATTTACAATATCTTTTTGTGAAGAAAGACTGAACCACAAAGAAACAATTCGAAACACCTGAAAGCAAAAGACTCGTTAGGGGAAATCATATTACCAGGCAATAAATTGGCTCCATTGTGTATGAGCATGAATCTATTAGGAAAGGAAGCTCCCATGTTAAAATTCTGGAGGATCTTGCCACGTAAAAATTGTCTTGATCTCTCCACAGACATTTAATGGGAGAGCCCTATCAAAATTTGTGAATATTTACAAAAAGAGAGACTTGAAACCAGTACAAGTGTTTTTAAAATTTGCCTTTATGGCCTAACTTAACCTGCAAAACTAACTTAAGACTTATAAGACTGCATTGGTCATATCTCAAGTCAACATGGGATCTCTAAAACACACTCCCTCATGACCAACATTGGACATTGAAGCCTAGACATATGCAGGTGGCCAAATAACAACAACCCCTCATACCTAGGAATAAACATCTAGTGTGTGAACATATACAGGTGGTCCAATGATGGGTCTATGATAGATTTTGATACCATCTTAGGATTTGGGCCTAAACCGCAAGTTGTTTGATTCAACTTCACAAAACTGACTTATAAGGTAAGGATTGTTTTAGCCTTATAAGTGTGTGAATGATGTACTTAGCTTAACATGTCAATCATTGTAATTCAATTAGTTTGACAACTGTCTACTGACAATTGTCACTAGCACTAGTCTGTTAGTTCTGTTGTAACTAACTTCATTGTATAAATACCCGAGTCTCCCAAGTCTGTTAGTTTGAGCAAGCAGAGTCTCCCAAGTCAAGAGGCTTTGATACCGACTTGAAGTAACTGAACAACTAAATATTATCTCTCTAATAATCTCTGTACCGGGAGATTACAAAAAGAATATTGGCCGTCTAATTAATTCTAATTTAGAAATTACAGGCAAAGTATGCTGATTTTCTGTCCTAATTATAATGAAAACAGGGAAACTAACAGGAAATAATTCTGAAATGAGTTTGTACAGAATCAAAAAATTAGGAAATAAAAATCCCATGCTACAACAGATAGAGATAGACATAGTTGTCACATGATAAGATCACGTGAAACTTTAACATGTGAGGATGATCCATTCCTCAATTTGTTAGTAGTGAAGGAAAATAAGAGCAATTACATACCACTCTCACATCATACTTGTCGCCTATGACTAAACAACGTTTATATCCCTCGAGTGCCAGGCTAAGAAAATTGTCACGGTCATCCTGATATTTTGAAAAGCAGGAAAAATGAATTATATTTACCACATATTATAGACACAGGGTTGGGATAAGAATAAGGAAAAGTGGAGTTTGTTTATCAATTTGAAACAGTTAAGCCTTCTACAGAAAATGAGGGATTTAATGTAAAAATTCACAAGTGAAGTTTATTTATCAATATAAAAAAAGCGGGGATTATTTATCAATTTTAAAAGGTTAAATCTATTTATCAAACCTTGCGATTTAGTTGCACATAGAATCACGCAAAATTCCTTCCTAACTCATTAAACAAAATAAATACCTGTAATTTTTGTGCTTCTTCCTTGTCCATTGCTACTTGCTTTTGCAGTTCTTGGATTTTCATTGAGTAGTCAGTTTTCTCCATCTAAATTATATACTATGGGTTAGAGCACCAGAGAATGTAGCAATAAAAAAGAAAACATTTTAACTACCTTTGTGGAACTCCGTAACCTTTTTATAAGTGCTTCCAACTCCACAGTCTGCAGAATTAACAATACAATGACCATATAAGTAATAGCATTTAACATACATGAGAATTAAATTTGTGAATTTCCTAAGATTAGCTCCCAGCCTATTAATTGATATTTCATTGTTAAATCCCAATAGTTCAACATGTTGAAAGCAACGAGCAAAGGCATAAAAGATGAGCTGAAACCATGTTTTACTACACCACGGGATAGGTTTATACATATGCTCAATTCATTCAATACACATGATTAGGAAATATTTTTTCCCTTCAATAAGATATTATCCATAATTGCTAAATATCATTATATTATTCTCAACAGCCACCCTCAAGCCAAAGTGTATAAAACATATGCACCCCAGCTTGTTACATATATAGCTAACCCTTGGTAGTAGAGATACCTCCAAACTCAATCTTCTCTCATACAAAGTGACAGTCAGCCTCAATATGTTTGGTCCTCTCATGAAAAATAAAATTGGATGCAATATGTAAGGTAGCTTGATTATCACATATCAGTGTCATTTGCTTAGAGTCATCAAATTGGAGTTTCTTTGAGTAACTATTTTAGCTATATAAGCTCACATGTCACTAAATAGTAAAATGTATTATTGATAAAATTTAGTAAAATAAATTATTGATAAAATTGAGTGAATGTATCAGGGAGGTACAAGCTATATATATAGAGACCAGTCTCAACAAAGTAGATAACAATCCTAACAAACTAACCAACATGATGAGCTGGCAAATCTTAACAGAAAAACATACTATCTTAAGCTAAGTCAATACAGCTGATAACAAAAACATTTATTATCCTATTCCCTAATACACCCCCCACAAGCTCAAGGGGGATGAAACATAGTAGATGGGTCAACCACATTGATCTTAGACCATAGAAACAGAAACCTCCTTGGTGACAAAGCCTTGGTTAGAACATCTGCATATTGATAATGAGCAGGTATATGTGAAACAACAAGAGCTTTACTTAGCACCTTTTCTCAAACAAAAAAGATGTCAAGTTCCATATGCTTGGATCTTGAGTGTAAAACTGAAATGTGAGAAAAAGCTACTGTGCTCTGAGTATTACAGAGCACTGTAGGAACATTAAATTTGATTTTCAATTCCTTTAGAAGAGATTGAATCCACAAAACCTTTGTTACAGCTTGAGCTAAGGCTATATACTCAACTTCAGTACTTGACCTTGCAACGAGCAATTGCTTCTTGGACCACCAAGACACCAAGTTAGGTCCAAGATAACTGCAGGCTGCTGAACTGGACCTCCTATCGTTAGGATCAGCTTCCCAATCAGCATCAGTAAAAGTAATAAGATTGAAAGAAGTAGTAGAAGCAGTAGGTGTGAACAACAATCCATGTCCAATAGTCCCTTTGAGATACCTAAGTATCCTTTTAACAAATTTTCAATGCTCCTCCATTGGAGAACACATAAAATGACTCACTTTATTGACACTAAAAGCAATCTATGGCCGTGTAATTGTGGCACATTGCAAAGTACCAACTACTGACATATACAAAGTTGGATCATCAAACAAGGTACCTTCCTTAGCAAGTTGTTGACCACCAACCATAGGAACAGATATGCCCTTAGAGTCTTCCATCAAGGAATGCATTGTTGATGTCAAGCTATCGAATAGGCCACTAAAAAGAGACTGCAAGAGAAAGAACAATCTTGATTGTGACAGGTTTAACTACTAGAGAGAAGGTTTCAAAAAAATCAAGGCCATAGTGCTGATGAAAGCCCTTGGCAACAAGTCTGGCCTTGTATTTATTAATAGAGCCATCAGGATTTTCTTTAATTATGAAAACCCATCTACATCCAATGGGTTTTCTTCCAGAGGGTAACTCAACTACCCACCATGTATTGTTGTCATGTAAAACTTTGATTTCAGCTTGCATAGCAGTAAACCAATTAGGGTTAGTGAGGGCAACTTTAACTATTTTTGGTTCAGCATTGAAGAGCAAGAGTGTAGGATTGATTCTAGGTTTGATAATCCGTTTTTTGGATCGAGTAGTCATGGGATGAACATTAAATGGTCTGGCAGAGGATAGAGACGAAGCGGATACAGTTGTAGTAGGAGATGGGTGCTGAGAAACTGGGAGCTGGGATGAAATTGAAGGATTAGCAAGGGTATCAACAAATGCAGGAGCAGTGCCAAAGGATGAAAAGGTTGAAGGTGCAGGTGCAAATTCATAGTTGAGAGGACTGGGATCTAAAGAACCTGAGCTTGAGGAAAAATCAGGCTGAACTGATGCAAAGGAAGGTGGATTGTGAGAGCAAACAAGAGAGGGAATTGTAGACACTAAGGTTGCAGGAGTAGGGATGTCTGATTTCGTAGGGAAAAGATCATTATAGGGAAATTTGCCTTCATTGAATACAACATCCTTACTGATGTAAATTCTTCCAGACTTACGTAAACATTTATAACCTTTATGACTAGGAGAGTAACCCAAAAATATACACTCCTCTGATCTAGGTTGAATTTTGTGTTGATTATAAGGTCTAAGTAGCAGAAAACAGGAGTAGCCAAAATGCCAAATATTTTCAAAAACTTGTAATCAGGATCCTTATGGTGAATCAACTTGTAAGGTGATTAATGACCAACTGAAGAAGAGGATAACCTATTAATTAGGTAGGTAGCAGTCAAGAAGGCATGATCCCAGAATTTCAATGGTAATGAAGCATGATGTATCATGGCTAAACCAAGCTCAACCACATGTCTGTGTCTCCTCTCAACCATGTCATTTTGTTGATGAGCATAGGGACAAATAAACCTGTGAATAATACCATGTTGTAAAAAATAAGTTAAAGGACAAAATTCACCACCACCATCAGTTTGAACTGATTTCAAAGGAGCCTGGAATTGTTCTTTTGCTAGAGCTTTAAAATTCAAAACATGAGAAAATACATCTGATTTTCTACGAAGATAAATCCACATACATCGAGTACATGCATCAACACACGTTAAGAAGTACAAATAGCCACAACTAGATTCTAATGATGTAGGTCCCCATACATCTAGAAAAACGAGTTCAAGCGGTTTAGAATAAACTGTAGATGAAGTTTGAGAAGAAATTCTATGAGATTTTGCCATGCAACAAGAATCACAAAAATCAGAAATTTTATTAACAGTAGGAATATGGATATTACAATTTTTAAGGCCTTAGTTAGAGCATCATGATGTGGATGCCCTAACCGCAAGTGCCATTGTTTGTAGATACTAGGAATAGTATTTGTACATTTTTTAGAAAGAAAAATACAAGGTTTAGATAAAACTAAAACTTAATTCATCTTAAGGTCAGCTTTGATTGATTCATTCTTTGCTAAAGATGGGTGAAAGCGATAGAGACCCTCTTCACCAAGTTTTCCTTCAAGAAGAGTCTCGTTCAAATCTAGTGATTTGACAAAGCAAGAATAACGATAGAATACAAAATAGACATTATTGTCTTTAGCAAATTTAGAGACACTTATTAAATTTTTGGTTAAGGTAGGAACAATTAAGAGATCATTTAGGGACAAGACAGTGGAGGAATGAATAAGGGACCTAAACATATTAGAACCAATTGAAGCAATAGATGTACCTTGGTCATTGGCCATGACAATGAGTTCAGCGCCTGTAAATTGAGCACTCTGTAGAAGATGTTGTGGATCAAGACTAGCATGGTGGGAAGCTCTTAAATCATGGATCCAAGCTGTAGCAGTGTTTAAAGTTGGGATGGTACGTTGAGCAGAAGCTGCAGTATCAGGATGAGCTTGCTGGCTAGAAGATGGTGCTGGAAATGTGAACCCAGGTGGTGTGAAGCCAAGATCAGGTAAAGTGGACCCAAAAGGACCGCCCAATGCATAAGTAGGCCACTGACCTGAGCCTGAGAGTCCAAATATGTTGGCAAATCCATAGTAAGGAATAGCTCCAGTGTTGGAAAGAAAAGATGAGCCAAGTCCAAAGTTTGAGGCCCGTAACCACTCTGAGACCCAAGACCCAAAGTGGTGTAAGGGGAAAACATTGGGCAGAAAGGCAGCCCAAAACCACCAAATGACAATCCACTGGAGCGTTGATAACACGTGGAGGCCTCGGGACCTCTTTTATGACATATTTGGCATTGAACAGGGGGACCACGACTTTTGCCACCATGTGCGCCACCACGACCACATCCTCCATCACGATTCTGACCGAAAAAGCCGTTGAATCCACCTTGAGATTCAAACGAAGAATTCTGAAACGTATTTTGCTAAGAATTTGGCATTTGTTGCTGCTGAAATGCCAAATTCACATTTGGAGCTCCACTTGCAACTGGAGCAACTTAAGCAAGATTAATCGTCAAAGGTTCTTGAATCACTGCTATTTTTGCTTGTTCCACTTCTTGAGCGAGAATCATAGTTTCAAGTTCGCCAGGAGAAAGAACATCATCGCGACTGACAAAGGCAGTGATTGTAGAGATCAGTGAATCGTATTCAGGCAGAAGACCTCCAATGATACATTCAACATGTTCTCTTGTTGATACAGGACTTCCAATCGAAGCAAGAATTTCAATGGGTAGGACAACGTCAAATGGTAAGATCAAATATGATAAAGGAGTTGGAGTTAGGCATGAGTCTAACATAGCCTCTTCAGTAGTATCATTGGCAATGTCTGTGTCGATTCAACAGTATTGCACTGACATTGATATGTTTGAAGTGTTTGTACATATAGAGAAGCCTTAAGTGGAACATCCAAATATACATATAATTCATTTAGAGGAATAGAAAGTAGATAGACAGGAGGAGGAGGATTTTTTCTGTTGCCATTACAGGACCAGGGTAGTAGGGATACGTGGGTACAAAATTCATAGTAAGCGATTTTGAATGGCAAATTTCAAGAAAAGAAAAGGACATGTCAATGTAGTTCTACAACAAATGACACTAGCTCAGTTCAAAAATACAGCACGTCATAACTAATTGGAAAGATGAATCAAGAAACTCCAAATTTTAGGGATTGTGGAGTAGCTGAGTAAAACACCGAATTTCTCTTCTGTTAACATCTATCTACAGTTCTCTGGTGTTACTGTGCTGTCACAGTTTGTTGTAACAATCGATTAGTGTTAGATTAGCAGTCACACTATAAATAGTTGAGCCTTCTACCCATATAGAATCATTTAGAAAACATATGATTCACATATCATGATTCAAATACCTCTAGATTCGCTTTGATCTCTCATTTACTCTCACTTTTTCTTATTTGATTTCGGTTTTCAACAAAGAATATGGACTCTAATACCAACTTGAGAATAAATTTTGTGAACTTCTTGAAGCCAATTTATATTTACACCATTGCACATTTGAGTCCCTGTATTTAAGGGATTAGATGAATATATAGCAAGTAGTCACAATATCCTTGCATATATATATATATATTACACACACAAATACACAAACAACCAGATCAAGGTGAACAAGGAAATAACAGAATAGCAAATAAGGAAACCTCAACATACATCACCCATAATTCCTATTATCTTATGCTTGTCCTTAGACCATTTATTCAAATCAGTCAATTAGGTACCTTATGCTTTCTTAAACGCATTGCTGCTAGCCATTCATTAGAGTTAAGTCTTTCCTCGTGGCTTTTAAATAGAGCATCAGCATAGTGTGCAAGATGAAAATGAGTCTGACATTGCCTTTTGATGGCATTCTTAGCTGTAGCATTCACATCCTCAGTAATAGAGACTGCAGGTTTCAAATACTTTTCCAAAATTGTTCTTGAGCTGCAGTTTTACACCAAAACAGGGAAAATAACAAGCAAATCAGGCATGAAAAAGGAGCATATTATTAAAACGTTAGACAGAATTAAGTTTTGTCCAATAACTTGCTAGATCTGGTTTCTGCCAGCCACTTCCCAATCAGCCGATATACATCTGAAGCCTCCTGATTAGAGTAATGATTTTCTGATATATACATTGCAAGGTTGATAGCCATCACATTTTGACCTTGAGCACGGAAAAGTTTTGCTTCTTCAAGCTGCAACCCAAAGGTTCATTACTTATATTTGGCAAGGCTGATAACAATAATACAGCTGACTCATTTACGAGTGTTAGAGTAAATGGTGGGATGAGAATTCAGACAAAAGAAGAAATTTAAGAGAAACTGTAATTGATTATTATACAAATGAAAGAATGCAAGGATAAAATTATTTATACTGATCCAATACAATAGCAGTCAGTTATGATTGATATATGACAGCCAACAGCAGTCCTAACTAAAAATCTGAACAGACTAACTATCAACAGAGATGTGTTGGCATCTGTGCAGGTCATGGCCCATGGGCTAGATCCACTAATCACTATATATACAAAAGTGAGCATCATCTAAGCAGGAAGCAGAAGCAAACAAGAAAATGTTAATGCCAACCATATGCAGTTTTCCAAACTAAACAATTCATTACCTTCATTTTTTAGTAATATTTAACATTACACTAGACAACAATTCTATTGCACCAAGCCAATCAATCAGGTCTTATGAAGCACATAGCATAAGAATAAGTTTGAAATGAGAATTTAATGAAGGGGATGTAATATTTTAGGTGAATTAAAACATTAACACAAGCATTTCTTGCTTGGATACCCAATCTAAGAATTTTAAAAATTTATGCAGCATTTCATAGGTGATTTGTTATTAAACCAAGGAACTTCATAGCTGTAGAATTTGAGAAATTGTCTCAACTATTCCTTAAGGGTGCATTCAACCACCCCCCCCCTTCTCTCCGCTCTCTGCATTCATCCCTCCTTTTCCAAAGTATTCACTATTCACATCTCTCACTGTATCACTTTATTTCATCATTCATGGAGGCCGACATAGTGGACTCTCTCTCTAAAATCTTTTCTCTTTGATTAATTCATATAAATATAATAATCACAAATTCCTTAAGTTCACATCTTGTTTCAGCTGACGAGTTCCAACATCATTTTGCATTTCTCAAGTTTTAGTTTTTCTATATAATGCCAAGTGCGCACACTGGTTGATCAAATTTCACATAACTCGTGCATTCTCACTTGTTTCTTGTCATTAAAATGAAAATTTGATTTCATTAGGAATTAGAATTACTAAAAAAAAATTTTCAACAAATTAAACTAATTGAATTGCTGCAATTCTATTTTTCTGTTTCAAATTCTCTTGTATTTTATGTTGCTCAATCCAAACACATACTAGGGTTCGGGGAAACAATCCCCAAAAAGAAAACTAAAATCACGTCTAAAAGGATAAAACATGTGTTGCTTGTCATGCTTGAATATTTCAAATTTGTCTTCATTGGCAGATGAAGTTTGATTCACTGGATTCTCTAGAACAGGACTAAAACACAAAATTACTATATCCAGATATGAAAAGACACAAAGTATAGCAGCCCCCTTACCCTTCCAAGCCAATATAAGGATGAGCATTGCCCTTTGGTTTCAACAGAAAGGAGTTTAAACTCATGCAAAGCAGCAGCTGCTTGAGAGAACCTACATCCCTGTAAAATGGAGAATAACATAATAAACATAAATTTGAATCATGGTTTCAAGATAATTATCATGGTCCAACGTCCCTAAAAGCTTAGGTTGTTAGCTAGAGACTCAATAATATTTAATTAAAATGGTAGTGTCACAGATTAAATCTATTGCCACTTAGTAAAGAGGATCTAAATTTATAATACCATGTGAAGTACCAAATATCCTACAAGCTTAAGTAGTTAATTACATGCTAAGGAATGGATTTTTTTTTTTTTTTTTTTTATCTCTAACAATGATGATATACCTTACGAAGTGTGGTTGCAGACTTCAGAAGATGTTGCAGCATACAATCTCTAGAACTTAAAATTTGATGTAGAACTCGTCGAAATGCTATAAATGGTTCTAGCAAATTCATATGTAACTGTGTCCTTTGCAAAATTGAGCACCACTCCATATCTAGCCATGACAACTAGGTGACAATAAAAACAGTGCAAGGCATCAATACTGACGATTCTCTGAATTCTATAATATATTTTACATAGTGAAGAAAAAAAAAGGTTCTGCTATGAAGGGTTCAGGTACACTAAACACCTGGTCAATGGAAGGAATCACAGGCTCAGGAGAAACATTTTGTTTCAGCAGACAAAACTTGGTGCTATTATCTTGACAAGTTCTCCAACGTAAATCCCAAGCCATGCCAAGATGATAAAGCATCTGTTTTGTGATCATAATACAGAAGATAAAAGGAAAAGTGCTGCATAAATTTAATTTAATTATAAAAAAAAAAAAATATATATATATATATATATACATATATATATATAAGTATAATATATTCATTTAGTCAAAAGCCTCCCAAAGACAGAAATTCTACAATGTTCCAGTGCTAACAAGTAACAAGTTTGTTATAAATTGATGTAACCTCAATTAGTCAAAAGCCTCCCAAAGACAGAAATTCTACAATGTTCCAGTGCTAACAAGTAACAAGTTTGTTATAAATTGATGTAACCTCAAATACTCTAGCATTTCTACAAATTATTTCTGTTTGTGACAACCGAAAGAATAAGAAAATGCATAAGAAGCATGATTGCTTCAGGAAGGAAGTTGCTGTAATATGTGTTATAAGATCTAGATATTTTGCAACTAAAACAATACTGAACAAAGTCAAAAACTCATTTGGATTATGATGCTTAATAGGATCAATACAAACCAGACCAACAAAATGCCTTTCTTTAAACAGTGCCATTGGGTGGCAAAATTTGTCACAGAAAATTGAAAAGTGGCATATTCAGGAGTGTGTTATATGAAGATCTATTTTAGACACAGGAACCACTTATTTTGCATGTTAGATGCCAACTTGTTCATGGAAATGGAATAACTTGTTTAGGTCCTTGAGGATGGTGAACAATAGGCACATCCTTCCAATTTGTTGCATTTTCAAACATGCGCTTAAAAGGATTCATTCAACAGGAATCAGGAGGTTCTGATTTTATGGCACACTGGGTTTTCCAGTTCTCTGGTAATTGGTTGGATAGAAATGTGTGCCTTTTATTTTATTTTTCAGTTGTCTTTTATATGACAGCATTGTGCTTTTAGCTTCTATTCAGTGTATAGTCCATGATTGTTTCAAAGATCTGTTACTGACATGTAAAGAGGTTCGACTTCTGACTTGCATTTTTATAGTCACTTTAGCACATTATCTCCTTTGTAATTTAGGAAAATCATCATATTGACATACGAATAACACACATCATCTTGAAACAGGACATCAGGTACAATCAACCCAAGCTAACCATAACAAAAACTCCATAAATTGTAATTCAGCCCATAACATCAGCATTACATATGTGCTTATCTTCCACGGATTTTTCTTTTAATTTATAGATCATTATAACATAATATACGGATTACTTAATGTTGAGGATGAGATATCCTCCTTACTAGAAAAGGACTACGCCTAACTTGATACCAAAAATACCTCAAGGAGTGGACCAAAGTCTTATAAAAAATTGTTTAGCCATATTCATAGCCAATGCCAGATAATAGGTTTCCATCTTCGTGCACACAGTCGGCAATATGGATTGAACGTATTAGACAATGATATTTGCAGGTGGCCCAATCATCAGGAGTGGACAGACTCAGATAGCTTATTCATAATGTATTGGACTACTTTGACCATACTCCAAGACAATGTGATCATAACAAAAAGCAAATGGGTTCATGGGCAGTTAATATGAAATAAGATTTAGCAGCAATAGATATCATGTAATGGATCTACATCTTGGACAAGTGGATACCTGGAGTTTAATGATAGTCAGGTAAATGTACTCAGTGCTCTCCTCACTTGCATGAGAGACAGACCACACAAGCTCCTAGAACACAAAACATTTATAAATGCATGAAGTCTTCATGTACCATCAACACAATTTAGGAAACAGATTACCTGCTTTGAATCTCTCAGTTTTCTCTGGAAATCACTCAAATCACCCTCCTGAAGTGCCCTTAAACAACTGAACATAAGAATAATTAAATGCACGTTTCATGAAAAGATTCTTTATTTGATGGTAAAAATTGTCTTTCATTTTTAATAGACTGGAGGAAGTGCACTACAGTGATCAGTCAGTTACCAAATATAAGAAAAAAGATACAGAACAATGGATGCATGTCTTCCAAGTAAAGAATATAGCAACTGAAGAATGGTGTTCAAAGACACAAGAATGAATAAGACCATATTACCTGTGCAAATTTTCATTGAAATGATCACATTTGATATTTGGAGATGGAAGAAAATTAGTTCCTACACATGGTAAAGAGAAATCCCAGTTCCCAGCACGCCAGGCAGACTCATATTGCAATTCAGCAAACTCTAAATCGTGCTGAAGTTGGTCGTTGCTTGATGTCAAGCCTCGACAATACATATCAAGCACATGTGTACAGCCAATCTGCTGTAGTGATCTAATCAACCCTTTGTAAGGTCTACTCTGGGTCATCTCATCCTCTGAGGCAAAAGATGAACGATTTGATGTTCCTCTTTGTTCCAATGACAGACTTCTTGAACTAACATCCTTCTGTACAGAGGCATCTGATTGCACTAGCAAGTCATAATACTCCAGGGCCTTCCCCCAGTTTCCCTCATGCTCAAATGTGATTATTTGAGAAGCCAACTATTATTTACACCAGCCAATATAAAAAACAAATAAATAAGAAAGGCAACGAACCAAAAATAAGCAGTGAAATAAAACATGAGCATAAAGAAGAGTTTCCATAAAATAAAAGCTTATTTTTGGGCTGTGATTGTCAGTGTTTCAATTAAGCTGTCATGCATGGCCTATGTTGCCCGAATACGCGCATGGTACCAGTTAAAGGTACAAATTTTTTAAGAATCAAGGATATGAGTACATTAACATTAAAGTTTAAAAAATACAAACATAAGAAAATGAATTTATATGTAAAGACGACAATTAGAGAAATAATTTCTGTTTTTGTATTATTCTTTATTTTTGATCTCTTGATTATTTGGTTGGGTCCATCTATCTTTTGGTTAGTGAGCTGAGCTAGCTGTCAGAACTCAATCTAAGACAAACTAAAAATAACTGTCTCTTGTCCCATGTAACTAACTTTTCAATAATAATGAAATTTAGTTAGACTTATGATATGCCTTCTCCCTTTCTCAAACCTATTCTTAAGAAAATTTTTTGGAGTCTAACTCAACTTTACAAAACTGGCTTATAAGATGAGGATTACTCCCTACTAATATACAGTTATAACCTCATATTTAGTTAATGTGGGGTCTCCAACACACCCTCATCACACCAAAGACTAGACATCTCAAGCGTGAAATTCATAGAACTAGACATATGTGAGTAGTCGAATAACGGCCCAATAACAAATGATCCGATAGGCCCAATAACAGTATCTAAGATAGGCTATGATACCATCTTAAAAAGTGGATTTAAGCCTAACTCAACCTTACAAAACTAACTTGTAAGATGAGGGTTGTGCCTTACTAATAAACTTTTTGTTTGCCTTATCTCTAGTTGATATGGGACTCAGATTTTTTTCAACACACACCCTCACGTCTAACACTATTGAACTTGGTACGGATATCAATTATGGGTGACCCTTTTAAATGACCTAGGATAAGCAGAACTAGGGTTTTTTCCCAGTACCTATCATGGTACCCAAAATAGGGTTCGAACCCTAATGAATTGGGATTTTTCTCCCACACCAATGGACACTCAACCATTACGATCCTTTCCTTCATTATTCTCTTCATCAACCATGGCAAACTCATTGTTTGCTCCAATAACATTCTAGCAAACAGTCTCTGAGAAACTCAAGACCAAAACTTACCACCTATGGTGTCAATAGGTTAACCTATCATCGTCTTCGTCACTACTTGGTAAATCCGGTAATTTTTCCAAAAATCCACTTTGTTGAAGACCCATAAGCAACTGTGTATCAAATGATTACCTCATGGCTTCTTTCATTCGCAAACAACTGCTAGGGCCAGCAATTGAGAGCTGAACTTTGTAGTGCTACTCTTAATGATCAATTCACTTTTGAATGTTTTTCTTCGAATCGAAGTGTTGGTTGCAGCACCAACAATAATTGAACTCACTTTTGTTATATGTTCCCTCAATAACCTAAAATCTCAAGTGTTAATCAGATTCTAAGGATAATTCTGTGAATTTAGAGAACACCCTTTCTTTTGTCTAATTAAATCATAGGACTCCAACGAGGTTCTCCTCAAAGGCATTGTGGCTCAAATGGCCTATATCAGTTTCCTATTTTAAGCAGAACTCAATCATCTTGAGTTCAAATGCTACTAGCTCACTTTCAACTCTTTGTATAGGTGTAAAAAATTCCCGTGTACATACAACTTCAATATCTGATGTATATTATTTCTCAATTTGGCATTCAAAATTAGGACACCCTAGTACTGATGTACAAAACATTGTATTCATTCATCCAATAAATTGAAATGTTGCCAAATTTTGCTCAGCTTGTTTAGGCAAGGTCCTTGGATTGCCATCACATCCTTCGACTTATACTTACACTAATCCACTTGATCTTGTCTATAGTGATTTGTGGGGATCACCCCAACAACTCTAGTTTAGGTTTTCTTTGCTATGTTACATTTGAGGATGCATGCACTAAAAATTTACATTTACATGGATTTACATTCAAAAGCAAATACCTAAAGTTATAGGTTCTTCAATCAATTTCAATCTATGGTTGAAAAGCAATTTAAAACTTTTGTGGTAAAGCTAATGCGTTGAATTTCATACCATCATTAGGAAACATTCAAGTTAGAAATTTAGGACTTCGGTTTAGAGTGTTTTTATTGTGGTTACATTTTTTGTGGAACTTGCTATGTGGTGGGTATCTTTTTGTTGCAGGGGTGGCACTACAAGCACTTGAGATTGAAGTCAAGAGTTTTGGAGACTTAATGGTCACAAAAAGAAATACAACTGGACCCATCAATGTTACCGATGGCAAATGGCGGATTATGGCGACAAGCCAAAAAATCTGCCATAGAAATATGGCAGATTGCATTGCGAGATATGGCAGAAGCATGTCAGACAAAATAAAAGTATAATATACACAGATAAATTTAAAAGTGTTTAATGATCTTGCCACTACATTCTGCTTCTTACTTTTCCAGGAA